GGTTTAGGTTTAATATTGGACTCTTTTTAGATATATACTTTTAGTATTTAGCTTCTTTTTTTTTTTTTTTGGCGCAACCTTCATCTTTTTTCCACGGTTGGACTAATTCTCTATTGGAAACTTGGATCCTTTAACTCTGTTATGTTCCTGTTTGGGGAGAATGGAGGTAAAATACAAATATGATCTAATAGTATTATCTGTCCTTCTGGAAGACCCTGCCAATTAATCACATTACTGCATGCGTTGTCAAGGAGATACGTTTTACAAAAAAAAAATCACGGAAATACAAAGATTTTTCAAGCTGGAAGTCCTATCTGTCAAATTTATGTCCTCCTCTAAACAAGTTACAAGTTGCCTTTTGAAATGTCCTTGTGGTCCATGTGGAGAATGCTGGCTCATATTATCCCTTACATTATCGTCTTAGCTAATCAATAGACCAGATCTGGACTCCTTGCCACATTGCTTATTTTCAATGTTTCTTTGGAATTACGGTTTTACTATTCCGAGACTTGATCCCAGCTGACAGCCTGACTTTAATTATGATTGTCTGTTAATGCTGATTATTTGTTAATGCTGATAACATTTCCGACTCTTTGTTAATACAATGTTTCGGGGTATTTTTCTCATCCATTTCATTCCCTTTAAAATATTATTAATACATGTATCTAACAATGACATTGTGATATATAACACTACATTATTATGTATGCCTGTAAATTTATATCCACTAAAATCTGTTGAATCAAGACTTTAGAGTGATAAACCTGCTCTAAGCTACGTCCTTCATCTGTTGGAGTCCCCCAAGGCTCTGTCCTTGGTTCCCTTCTATTTTCTCTTTATACTTCCTCTCTTGGCAATCGCATTACCTGACATGGATTCCAATACCACCTGTATGCTGATGACACCCAACTATATCTCTCCTCCCTGGACCTCGGCAACGTGTCACTGCTTGCCTTTCTTCCATTTCTGACTGAATGTTTTCCCGCTTTCTGAAACTCAATCTCTCTAAAACTGAGCTCCTTGTCTTTCCTCATCCTAATACTGATTCTCCTCTTTCGCTCTCCCTTCAAGTTAATGATATCCACATAAGTCCATCCTTGCAAGCGTGCTGTCTTGGTGTCATACTTAATACCTTTGAGCCTCACATCCAGTATGTTACCAAGTTCTGTAGATTCCCTCTTAAAAATATAGCCCTTATCTGCCCCTTTCTTACGCAAGATGCTACCAAGGAGCTTGTCCATGCTCTGTTAATTTCCCGTATGGATTATTGTAACTGTGACAAAATTAACATCGCCACTTGGGCCTGGAGAGGACTAATGGCTAGCCTCTTGCCTTCTGACTATGGCCCTGATGTGCATGCAGGGCCGGATTAACATAGGGGCTGATGGAGCTGCAGCTCCAGGCCCAGGCCCATGGAATAGGCCCATTGATTTAAAAAATTTTTTTTTTTACAAAGTACTGTTAGGGTTGCCAGGTATTTCTCATGTATTTCTTATGGTTACCAGGTATTTCTCAGAAGTATTTCTCAGGTATTTGAGGCTGCCTAGCCGGTGCCAGTATTGCAGTAATACCGGCAATTCAAATGTCTGTCTCGGTATAAACAGAGATTATTCTGCAATACCAGCACCAGCCAGTAGGGGTCGCTGTTTGTGTGGAGAGAGGAAGGGATAATAAATTGCAGCATCTCCCTCCCTGCCTCTCTCTACTCACTGATCCACGGGGGAGCAGCTCTGCACAGAGAGTCCAGACAGCAGCTCTGAGCCTGCAAAACATGGGGACTGTGAGAGACTTCGGGATGCTAAGATTTTGGGACACTGGGAAACATAGGGACACTGGGGAACATGGGGACCCTGAGACACTAGGGACACAGTGGCCCCTAGTCTCTCAGTGTTCTCATGTCTCCCAGACAGTGTCCCTAGTGTCTCAGTGCCCCATGTCTCCCAGTGTCCCTGGTTTCTCTCAGTGTCCCTAGTGTCTGTGTCCCTAGTCTCTCAGTGTCCCCATTTATCTCAGTGTCCCCATGTCTCTAAGTGTCCCCTAGTGTCCTAGTGATATCGGGAAACTGGGAGACATGGGGATACAGACTCTAAGGGACACTGGGAAACATGGGGATACAAACACTAGGGGACACTGGGCGACATGGGGACACTGAGACACTAGGGGACACAGAGACATGGAGACACTGAGCGACTTGGAGACTTGGGAGATATGGGGCACTCCCAGTGTCCCCATGTCTCCCTGTCACTGTCCCTAGTATCTCAGTATCCCCATGACTCCCAGTGTCCCTGGTGTCTCTCAGTGTCCGTAGTGTGCCAGTGTTCCTAGTGCTTGCTAGTCTTCCAAAGTCCCCTACTCTCCCAGTGTCTCAGTGTCCCCATGTCTCCTAGTGTCTCAGTGTCCTCTAGTATAAAAGTAAATCTCAGGCACTCACTGTGATAGATTTAAGCAGGTTTATTGGACACTGCAACATTTTGTCCTGTACCCAGGTCTTTATCAAGTCTCCAGTGTCCCCTATGTATCAGAGTGTCTCAGTGTCCCTGGTGTCTCTCAGTGTCCTTAGTGCCTCAGTGTCTCCTAGTCTCTCAGAATCCCCTAGTCTCCCAGTGTCCGCATGTCTCACAATGCCCCCAAGTGTCTCAGTGTCCCCTAATATAAAAGAAAGAAATCTCAGGCACTCACTGTGATAGATTTAAGCAGGTTTATTGGACACCGCAACGTTTTGACCTGTACCCAGGTCTTTATCAAGTCTCCAGTGGCCCCTATATATCACAGGGTCCCCTATGTATCACAGTGTCTCATTGCCCCATGTCTCCCAGTGTCCCCTCATGTCTCAAAGTCACCCAGTGTCCCCATGTCTCCCAGTGTCCCCAAGAGTCTGTGTCCCCAGGTCTCCCAGTGTTCCCTAGTATCTCAGTGCCCCCATGTCTCCCAGTGTCCCCATGTCTCTCAATGTCCCCTAGTGTCTAAGTGACATGGGGACACTGGGAGACATAGGAACACAGACACAAAGGGACTGGGAGACATGGGGACACAGACGTGCCCCCTTTTTGTGTATGTTCGCCCCTTTCAGCAGAATGCTTATGTGATTTGTGTCAGTGGCCCACCCTTTTAACCCATCCATAGACTTCCTGCTTTACTGGACACTTCTGTTAGGGTGTATGGGTTTACTTGAAAGATGAAAGTGTGAGATTAGCATAGTGAATGTGTTTTCTCATAGCTGCATCCTATGAGTTTCCCTCCAGCACCATCTCCATCAGATACATGATGCTTCGGAGGTAGGACTATTAGTCAATAGGATTTTGTAATTAGGCCCATCATAATTGTCAGCACCAGGCCCACTGGGCTCTTAATCTGGCCC